CCAGTTAACTGGCCCTTTGGCAAGTGTTAGTGTTGTTACTGGCTTTTTGGAAGTGTCGAGTCGGAACTTGGAGTAATGGGCAACATAGTTAGTACTTGACTAGTTTAATACTTTATTTTAGTGTTACTAAATTTTTTTTTTTTTTTTTTTTAATATAATAAATAGATTATCGACTTTCGATGAATTAATTAAATGCACCAACGAAGGTTTGTGAACATTTCGGAAACGGAAGGTTGTTATATCGATATTTATTTTTTTAAAATTTTTTTTCTGTATTAACTATAGAAGTTGCGTCGTTCGTAGGTGCCGATAATTACCGTTACGTCGTTATTGAGGTTGATCAGGTTGATGCTGGTGTTCAAGTTTTTGTTGGTGAGTAATTAAGTTGTAGTCGTGCTGCTGTATTTCGTTCTTTTATTAAATCCTGATCGTTTATTGTTTAGTCATCTCTAGTACCGCCGAGTAGAAGTCGCGTTAGTACTAGTGATTAGGTTGTAGCTGGTGCTACTGTATTTGTTTTTGTTCTGTCGCTGATTAAACTGATAATTATTAGTCGTCATCGGAGCCGTCGAGTAGGTCATCGTTGGTACTGATTAGGTGGGTGATTAGGCTGTGGTTGGTGCTGTTGTATTTTGTTCGTTATAGGCCATTGATTAAGTTGCATTTGGTTGCCGTTGGAGCGTCGTCGTTGGTACAGGCGATTAGATCGTAATTAGGTCGTTGTTGGTGCTGGTGGTCAGGTCTTGTTGACTAGTTGACGTAAGTCAACAGACAGAAAAGAAGTGCAGCTATCTCCGTAGAAGCAAGATTCGTACTCGAACCCTCCCTCTCATGGAAATTTGTATAGAATCATTTTGTTTGGCTTAAATTTTTCATCAAGGCCGGCCTATGCAGTGTAGAAACCACCAGCCGATGCTACGCATTACGAATTCGACCAATGATGCCGATACTTGTTGCAATTATTATTGCTATTTCACCATCTTGATGTATATGTTGTAAGGGGGGACGAATTCAAGTGGATTCGAAATTAGTTAAATTAGGGTTAGGATACGGGTGTACATATGGTAAAATCAACCAGAAAAATGGGGTTTTATATAAAATTCAGAATCCACTTAAGTTCCGCTTCCGCTTATAACATATATCGATTGCAATTTACGATATAAATTAGATTTTTTATTTTATTTTGTCTATTTTATTATTTATTTATTTAAATAAAAACTTTGATTTATTTAAAATTAATTAGTGTATATCGATATCGTTTAATAAAATCGTTGCACATGACCCGCGAGATACAACACACTTGTTTAAAAATTTATATGTAATAGCAATCTATAAAATTCAAATATATTTTAAGTTTAATTCTAAAGTATAAGGCCTAAGAATTAAGGATCCAGCCTACAAAACGTCGCCGGTTTTCTAGTTATAAATTATCAAGCATTTCAGCATTTCCGCATATTGAAACAAAATCTAATGACCGGTCAATAGTCACATGGTCAAGCTTGATAATTTAGTATATCGGTATATGTGCCTTGAGATATAAATATTTAAATTGGAATATCTTGGAATTTGTATCAAAAAATTTCTCAACCTTGCTCATAATTTGAGTCCTTTTAATTTTTATGTTAGGAAAAACCAATTCATTAGAATTTATTCGTTTATTTAATTGACTCTGGCCAAGGCAATTTTAGACCCGTGACCCGTCAAGATGCAGACTAGGGTTTTATTATACCGGTATAATAGAAATGGTAGTACGTATAATACCAGGTATAATACGTATAATACGGTATAACCAATATTTTGCTTCTATATAGTTAATATGGTTCGGAATCTTTCTGAAATTTCTAAAAATTAGCTTGTTTAAATCGGAAATCTTCGTGTCCTCAAATAAACCGATTTAATTGGCTAAATTGTTTTTAATTATGGTATTATACGTACCTTTAGGGTATTATACCAATTGTACGTATAATACGGTATAAAAAATCTTAAACATATATGAGTGGAACACCTACAATCGGGCTTTCAAGTATATTTATGGTAAATCTATGTCCGATAATAAATTTACCATAGACGGCACAACTGTACACAAAATATACTTGAAAGCCCGATTGTAGAACTGCACTCATAAGTTATGGGCTAATAAATGATCGAACGGATCCGGTATTTTTGATGGGTATAAATTTAGCATTTCACCAGACCTGAAACTGCATGTATAATTAATATTGAAAACCCGATATCGGCAATAAGTTTCATTTGTCTCTCTCACATGCTTCTATCGCCGGTAGTAGGTCCTTCGAAACTGTCCATTCGGATCCGGATCCGGATCCGCTTTATGCAGCGAGTTTGAAAGACTGCCACTAGCTACAGGTACATGTGAGAGACTGTTGCTGGTAGCGTGTATTTCATATTAGTTATATGTACAGTTTTAGTTCGAGTATTCTTTGTAAAATGTTACTTTAATACCCATTAAAAATTCCGGATTCATTCGGATCTTTTTTGCGGGTTCTACCCTGAAATCCCGAAAGACAGATTCCTGAAAAAGACATAATACCGACAAAGTTAGCCAGCATTAGTTATAATTAGGGTTGGGGACATGTGCCCAGGGCATGCCTCTAACCCAAAAGGCATACTCATGTCATGTGATTATATATCTTAATTATGTATACTGATTGGCAATTTTACTAACAAGATTAAGTACTGTAGTGAATTATGATCTAAGAAATTTTGCTATCTAGGCAAATTAAAATTTAATGATTAAAATTAAGACCCCCAAACTCTACCCTAATACTGGTAGTAAAATTTTTTTAGACTGATAATACTGTACTAGGATTAGAGTTGCCTGCCGTAATTGTTTTTAACAAGTTGTAATATTACAACCTATATGTCGTAATATTGCAACCTATATGTCGTAAAGGTTGTAATTAATTACGGCAGGCAACCCTAACTAGGATCCAATAAGCATCATAGCTAGAATTGTGATCTAATTTTTAATCTGCTCTATTATATTAGATCTTCAGATTCTACTCTAAATCTGTACTGTTGCTTCAGGTTATTTCATATTTTTTAAACTCACTTATATATAAGTTGGATTTAATTCAAAATAGCTCTAAATTATACTAACAACTCTAAATATACAATATATATATAGGGTGGACACAATAAGAAGGGTATGTCTCATCACAAGGCATGCCTACCCAAATTTTTTCCCGTGCCCCAACCCTAGTTATAATGCTGGCCAATTTAGTCAGTATTATGTCCTTTCGGGATTTCAGGGTAGATCCTTTTTGCGGAACACAACATAAATCGCAAAAATCAGCCCTATGGCACCATAGATTAATCAGAAAATATTATTTACTATAATATTTTCTAAAAAAATCTACAGGTTAAGTAATAATTGATAAATATTTTATAAGCTTTATAATACATAACTTTATTTATAAAGTAGCAATTAGTAAATTCGTGATGATATAATATATCAACTAAATATCAAAATTGAGTTTAATTTTTATGTTGTCTTTGATCTTCTTAATTGTGAACATGGGAGTTGAAATAAATCAATTGAAATCTTCTATTGCTTCTATTAGCGTATATAAGTAAAATAATAATGTAATATATATAAAAAAAATTAAAATTATGATGAATTTGGTCTATCTCTAAGATATCTTTTGTATGCACTATACACACGCGCTATTTCGTAAGAAGTCATCCATCCCTTTGGCCATAACGTCAATAGCTTGAAATTAAACCGAAAGTTTAATTAAAATCATATCATAAAAGAATAAGATTCTTTATAATGTTACTTACATATTGGTATAAACTTTTTCGCCTCGTTTGCTCGGAATGTCTCTCGGATTTTTCTTCAGCCTCTCTATTTAGAGTTAATGAATATTAAATTAACATTTAAATTATTATTTATATAATCGATAAAACAATTTAGAGCATACTTACGCAAGACAATTACTCATTACAACCCAAGACATTTCTTCTTGTACTATTTTCCACAGTAAAAATCTTGTGTTTTCATCCCATCGAAATTTTTTGCCATTTACCGTTTCTTTTGATCTATTATTATTAGAGCTACTATCAGATTTACTATCAGATTTAATATCGCCATCTGCATCTGCATCAGGCTCAATGTCCGCATCACCATCAATTTCCATATTGGAATCTATTTCAGCACTGTTATCACCGTTTACCGGTACCGAAGATGAAGAAACAGATGCATTTCGTTCATCGAATTCCTGTAATAAAGATGGCATAATTTCATCCACTGCAACTTTCAAACGACCAATAAATTCTAACTTTCTTTTTTGTAACTCTATCAAGGATTTTGGATATAATGTCCTCTGACAAAGTCGCTATTTTTTTTTTTTTAATTAAGAGAATGAATGATTGTTGGCGAAATCGGATATAAAATGAAAGTTAGACTAATAAGTGGTTTTACAAACCGTTATTGTGAATTTATTATATGGTAACGTATTGGTTAATATTTTAAAAAGATTTTCGTTGAATTGATTAAGTTCATAGGCTCTTGAAAGAAGCTCCATCAAAGGAGGTTTAAGATTTTGTGGGAACCTAGACTTGACTTCGAAAGACTCTTTATTTATAGTTGCGAAAGATTTCATTTAGTAAATTATTGAATCTTAAATGAAGAATAAATAGATCATCCAACCTTTATCTACTTGTTGTTTAAAGAGATCTAAAAGATATTGAACATCTGGATGAACAGGATCCTACACAAATAAAATTACAAATAAGAAATCAGTGCGTGAAAGTAAGACTTCAATAATATGTGCGAATTCAAGCTTACCACTGGATAAACTTTTTTCTTTTTTCCCGAAGATTTATTAGGATCCGATAAATCTTTTTGATGTGCTGACGTATTATTCGCACCTATAGTGGAAATATTTGTACTTGAACTAGGATCTGTTATATGTGAATTATTTGAGGGATTGGTCTCATTGTGTGAAGTTGAAACAACCCCGTTCATAGATGACGATTCCTGGTTGGTATCACCGGCAGTCTTCAATTTCTTTGATACTCTCTTTTTTGGGGTAGCAGCCTTTCCTTTCCCATCACTACCACCTTCTGCTTTTTTGACAGTACGTGCCTTTCTAACTTTTGGACCGTCAGTTTCGGAGGATTTTGGCTTACGTTTTGCAGCCTTTTTCTTAGACGATGGCTCATCTCTAAAAAAAATATATATAATTTATAAACATTTTGTAAAAATTTAACACGCCAAATATCTAATTTTGGTTTATTTGGCAAAATTATTCCAACCTTAATTCATGAAAAAAAAAGTGATACTTACTCATCAACTAATCTTTCTAAAACCAATGGCCCATTCCATACAAAAAAACCTTCAATTTGTGGACGTACTTTTCCGTAATCACGCTGTAATGGAGCCAATTCACTGTCATCTATGAATGGATCATTCACATCGTAATGCTGTTCCTTCTTGATAATCCTTCTCTTTTTTTTACGAGTTTTTTCCTTACAATTATAAATGATTAAAAGAAATGTAAACAATACTTATTATATAATTGTAAATTTTAAATCTGATTCAAAATAAATACCTCTTCGACAATGGCATATTTTCCCGCATTCTCCAGAATTCTATCAAAGAATTCATCATTTTCGTCACGAAAAGCACGTGGCAAATCAATTGCTGAAGGAGGTGTTGGCGTTCGAAAATCGTCAGGAGTTTCGAAATCTGACCATTCCGATTGTGGGGTTTCTGACCCAGGTGTTTCTGAACATGACATATAACGTGGAGGTGTTTTTGCAATAGCATATCCAGCTTCCTTTAACAAATCAGGAAAGTATACTATGTTATTGTATCGACTCGTCAAAGGAATATCAAGTCGAATTTCGGGTTGCTTCTCAGGTGTCTTTGGTTCAGTATTTTCAACAAGTTCACGATTTTGTTGTTGTTTTGGCACCGTTGAAGCCTGCTGAGTTTCTGATTCAATAGCACTAACGGCTGTTTCTGTAGAATTATCAGCCTCTGCTTTTTCTGTAACATCCTCCTCTTTACTAATGGTAACTTCCATTTTATAGAAGTGTTCAAATCGAACAGAAAATGATAAAACCTGTACAATATTTACGTCAATTTTAGTGTTACGATCAGTAAATTACATAATCAATTTTTTTTTTTATGATAAAATAAATATAGCATGTACATATGTATATCGACATATTTTGTCATATTCGTCATAACATATAATGGTCGAAGTTCAAGAGGTATTTATGCTTTTTCAAACTAACTGATAGACTTTAAATAACTAATAATATAAAAAAATATCAAAGGTACCTGAAGGTCACGAATTTTCTGACAATTCAGATAATGAGTCAACTAGTTCTTTGGAATCGGGTTCTTCTGAAGAACCGGAATCTCTTTCAGAACGATTAGCAGCTTTACGTGACATTATACCAGAAGAGACGCGTGACTCAATAACAAATAATGTTTCATCAATAATGAGATTTGGCGTGAATAGTGCTCGTTTTCTAGGAAATGTATTTTGGGTTTTGACCACTTCTGCCATAATTTTGATTATGCCTTTAGCGCTTGAACTTGAAAGAGAGCATCAAATTATCCAACTTGAGAATGAACAAAAAGCTTTAGTAATTTATCAATTTATTAATGGCAATGTTGTTTTTAAAGCCAAAAGCTCTATTCTAATAATAATATTTATTTTAGATGAGTGGTCAATCTAGCAACCCTTATGGACAATCTAGCAATCCTTATGGACAATCTAGCAACCCTTACGGACAACTACCGGGCCAAGTAAACCCTTTGGGAACATCAAGACAACCTCAACTTAATGATTCTAGTCAATAATGAAAAAATTGGCTAAAACTAATCTTTGACTAGTTTTTTCAAAATGATGATAATTCACGCATAAGCTTTTTGATCATAAAAAAATTCTTTTATGTACATATGGCAAAATAGCAAGTTATAAATTGTTATAAAAACTATCGATGAAACTTTAAAGAAATTTTATTCCCTGATAAATCTAATCGTTAAAAATTTGTCATCTATGATCGACGAGGATTGACAATTAATCGGATGGATTTTTATCTATGTAGATAATTTCAGATATTGTATCTGTAATTAATAACAGATAAACGATTCTTTTAATCGCGTAGTCTTAGTTTATATACTTTTTATAAATAAACTTGTTTTACGCTTCATAGGAAAGTACCGTTGTATTTGTATGCGTTTAGGACCATATAACATTGATCTAAGTAAGCTAAGTAACTGAAAATGCTAAGTGGATTAGATCTCATAATAGTGGAGCTGAAAACCATCGTAATGCTATGCTTTTTGCAAGGGTTATACAGTAAATATCTCTATATTCATAAAGTAGATTTCACGATTATTTCACGAAAAGCCATCCCCTAAAATTTTATTCATTTAATAATCTTTAAATTTTAAGTTATATCACTAAATTTATATGTAACTTAAAAATTTTGACACTTCTGCATAGCAAAAATTTAAATTTAACAAAAATTTAAATTTTATTAGTAAAATTTGCAATTTTCAGATTTTTCAGTTTTTTATTGGTTAAATATGTTACACTACAAGTGAAAATTCGCATCCAACAATAAAATATATCGAAAATGGTAATTAATTAATAAAGCTTATACGTAGCTTTTTTGCAAAAATATACGTAAAAGTAGGTAAAGTTTCTTTAAATTGAATAGTCGATTTATAAATCTCTTTTAAGACTAAGCTTACGCAAACAAGATGATTAATACGTAGTAGAATTGAAACTTGGAGATTATTATGCGACTAGGCATGACGAAAATCGGTAATATGAGTCTTGGCGCATCTAAGATAATTTGGGTATACCATTTAGTAAATGGTATGCCAGAATGCCATCATCGCATACCATATTATAAATTAAAAATTATATACGTATAATAAAAAACCTTTTTCCGATCAAATTAAATTACATAAATTTATACCAATGAAGGCATGCTTAATAAACTTTAAGCATTTTGACATTCCTATGACTATCGTGCCAGCAAATTCGGCTAAGCCGATTATGTTGAACATCGGTTCAACGCAATGACGAAAGTACCCGAAAATCACTCACTCGCTCAATTCTTTTACTTAAATAATTATCTATTTTCCTATCTCAACGATTATCATTAAATAGCATTGTTATCATTATTAGCATTGTTTAATAAAATGACAAACACAATTAGATGTGATATTGACAATCGATATTGTTTTGTATAATTATTCAAGTATTCGAATAATTTGAATTTTGAATACTCAGAATAATAGAAGAAATATTTGAGGATTTTAATTGGTTCAGAGTTGCATGCTCTCTTAAGAACATTCTGGCCTTAAATCGATCGTGGAAAAAGTTAATAGGTTAATGTGTGATTGCAGCATAAAACTTTAAGCAATAAAGTGATAATGCCTATGATGTATCTTTCAATGCTGTCTACCTCTGTCTTGATCTTTTAATAAAAATAATTATGCAATGAATAACATTTATTATTTTATTTAGATTAAAATAAATCAGTATTAGAGATTCTTAAGGGTTTCAGATGTCCGATGTTGCAGAAATAACATTCTCATCGTTAATTTCCTGATTAGTTTCAACCTCTTGTTTTTCTTCTGATACATTATTTTCTTGATGTTGAGTGTTTAACATTTCCTCATTTTCCACAATCAATTCTTTCGGTTCTTCATTTGATTCCTTTCCTTCTGCTTTTTCGACTTGTTCATGTTTCATTCTTTTCGACTAAATGAAAAAAAGGTTTAACATCAAAGCATTTTGTATCAGAAATTTGACTAATAAGGCTTTCCTAAGAACGAAATAAAATAAAAAGTTCAGAAGAATTTAATTTTATACAAACCTCTTTAATTTTTTCTTCAAGATCTTCTTTTGTAGCCTTATAAGTGTCCAATTTGTACAAACATTGTTGAAAAATGTCAGCAATTTGTGGTGAATATTGACAAGGATCAATCGAAAGGAGCTGCTTTTCTTAATATATTTTAACAGATGATTTGAATAGGCATAGATTAAGTACATGAATCGAGACAAAAGAAAAACGTAATGGTAGTAACCTATATCATAATCTTTTACGATATCTGTGAATACGTCATAATACTGTTTTTAGTTATGTTACGATCAAAAAGGTTAATACAATTCTTATAAATTACCGAATTTGATTTATAACACAGAAGAGAATATAAATGTACCTGATCGACTTGGTCATTCATTAATTCCACAAAATTTCGTACAGGTTTTGTATCAATAAGCAAATTATGATATACAGTTATGTGATCTTCAAAATCAACATATATAAAGCATGGAATATTACAACCAGGCGTTACAGCATATTTACCTAATCGTGAAAGACCATCAGATTAATAAATAACAAAATGAATGAAAAAAAACAATCTTTTATAAACATACCAGCGGCAAATGCACAAACTCGACCTTCAAATTCAAACTTAACCATATTAAAATCGAGGTCAATTATATAAGTATTGCCGTTCCACGTACACGCGACAAATACATCATCACCTCGTTCATTTAACGGTATTTCAGTCTCATCACATGTAAAATCTATAGCAGCTACTCCGAAAAGCTTATGTGTCACTTGCAATTCATGACGCGACATGGTTGATGTTTGGAGGTCAAAAAATGTAAAATTACCTACAATGAAAGGTTTAGATATGAATATCTAATATAATAATGATCAAAGTAATAATAGTAATAATGATAGTAATAATAATAATAGTAATAATAGTAATAATAATAGTAATAATAGTAATAATAGTAATAATAATAATAATAATAGTAATACTAATAGGAATAACAGTAATAATAATAATAATTGTATAATAATAATAATAATAATAATAGACTATTAGTACCATCCATAGTAACGAGCGCAATAACATCAGAATTTTTGCCTTATAACAAGTATAATTAGATAAAAATTAATTAATTATATCATTACAATAAAAATCACATTCAGATATTTCATTATTATTCACCATTTTTCCATTTTAATCCTTTCGCTATCTCTGTTGATACTTCTGTTGTTTCATCAGGACATTGTAAATCATTTGACGTTTGAGTAGGGCAAGTTCTATTCTCATTCTTATCTATTATCATAAAATGACCACCGGGTTGGCCTACGAGTAATAATGGTGATGATGTTTGAGGGTCCGTAGCTGTAGATAATGATGTGATCTACGTAACTTTAGTCGTAATTAATAATATAAGGATCAACCATTTGTATTCCCTCGAATTTACCTGACCACTAAAAAACCATTTCTTTTTTTCTTTTAGAGTTGGACTCGTTTCATTAACATTCGGCTTATCTTTACTTGTCCTATTCGTAGTAATTTCTGTGATTAGATTGCCTGATCGTGTCAATAAATTTTGTTGATCTTTACTAGAAGGTTTGTTGACCGTCGATCCTTCAGCAGGTAATGACGTTTCATAAGAGTATACATGTAATATACGATCGGTACGCGCAAGAATTATCTCATTCATGCCATCTCCATCTTGTTAAGATAAAAGGTGTCATAATAAAATAATAAAAATTATATAAATCAGAGAAATAGTGATCGCCATACCAATATCAGCAATCAAGATATGATTGCAATTAACAGGGACAGTGAATGTTAATTTAGAATAATCATTAACATTAGGCTTTATCATTGGTGCTAGTGCTTCAGAAATTCTTCTAGTACTTGTTGGTATGTTTTCTTCTTCTGTCGTTGATGTAGAATTATGCTTCGTCATGTCAAATATGTTACAGTCCCCTTCAGCATTGACACAGACAATTGAATTCTTAATTATATGTTAAGAAAATCGATATATATATGCGTGTAATTGATTTATACAATTGATAACGTTTGTCAAAAACATATATACCTTGCCCGAATTCTTAATATCGCCAACGGCCACACAAGTTATCTGGATAAGTCGTGATCACGTGAGCGTTATACAATAATTAAAAGTGTTCAACAATCCCTCTCATTTTAATGAACCCACCCACCGTTCCCAATCCACTAACAGTCATTATAGGCCGCCCCTCAATTGGATTGCCCTTGAAAACACTCAACTCACCATTTAAATTCCCAATTACAAATTCATTATCCTACAAAAAGAATTCTTGAGTGTTATCTACAACTGAGAATGCTTGTTACAAATTACCTCATCATTGTCAACATCCCCAAAGGCAAAAGCGTGAGGATTCATATTTCCAGGAAAATTCCATATTAACTTATCCACCAAACATATCGATTTCATATTTAAAGTAAAAAAAAATTGAAGATAACCGATAAATGATCAACGTCAATATTTATAGTTATGATGATCTAAAATTTTTAAAATCATCCAATAAGATACAATCATTCACATGATGAAAATTTTTTGTTAGATAAAAAAAAAAAGATTCATCATTTCCGTTTCTCCCTCTACAATTCTTCCTCCTCCTAAGATCATAATGGAGAAAAAGATCGCTAAACGGTCGGGTCAACTGACCACAGACGAAACCGCAAAGCAAATTGCACAAGCTCTTTTCGATCTAGAAAACAATGTGCCAGAATTGAAAAAGGATTTGAAACCTTTACAAATTACTGACGCTAAAGAGGTTTGAAAAGTCAAAAAAGATATATTCGATTTATATAACCTGAATCGATTAATAAATTATATGTTGATATTAAAGTACGAATTAGGTGGAGGTAAAAAGGCCATTGTGATTTTTGTGCCGGTTCCTACATTGAAACAATTCCACAAGATTCAACAAAGGTTCATTTTCCATATTAAAGAGTTTATTGAGTGTTCTACGTAATATTAGAGTCACTTTAATTACCAAGAACATCGTGCAGGCTAACCCGCGAACTAGAAAAAAAATTTGCGGATCGACATATCGTTTTTATCGCGGATCGTCGTATTTTACGTAAACCCGGCCGTAAATCTCGTGTTAAGCAGGCTCGTCCTCGGTCACGTACTCTTACTTCAGTTCATGAAAAATACCTTGAAGATTTGGTGTATCCAACTGAGATTGTGGGTAAAAGGACGTGTGTCAAAGTCGATGGCAGCAAGACCATTAAAGTGTATTACAATTTATTAACATTTTTTGTTGAGTTTCAATAGATAATTGATGGATTAATGAGATTTAATTTTTTTTTTTTTTCTAGCTTTCTTGACAGTAAGGATGCCACGTCTTTAGAATATAAGTTAGATACCTTTAAATCGGTATACAAAAATCTCACCAGTAAAGACGTTGAATTTCAATTTCCCGCTCATCAGATTGAATAAAAATCCCGCGTTTGTTATTGAAGGAGAGGTAATATTAATTGCTTCAATAAAGAATAGACTAATTTTGAAGTTGTGAAACGCACTGTTATGCTACAAAAAAAAAAAAAATTTACTTGGATAATGTAAAAAATTAAAATATTTTTATTGAAATTTAAATTTTTTATTTTGGTATTTTAATTTTTTAAAATGGTTTGAAAATCAACATTATTGGTTAAGTTGTTGGTGTTTTATATGATATTTTTGTTCAATTTGGAGCTAAATATAGTTTAAACTTTAGCTTGCCAATGGCATAAATATGCTTAATATGAATACGTATCATCAAATAATATCAAATTCGAATATCTTACTCAATCCCTGAAAAATATGATCTCGTGATGATAACAAGTAATTGCCTTTTTCGTGGTTATGCTAATGGATGCCTGGGTAGAACTCATGTGTTGCCGCACGGGATTAGGGACATGTCCCGCAGATTTATTATAAGAGAGTTGTTTTTTTAAATCTAAAATGGATAAAATTTTAAAAATATATACGTGTATAATTCGATTAACAATAATACAAGTTAGAAATTATTTTATTAATAAAAAAATATTTTTTTAATCTGTAAGTTTTGGGAAGCAAAATTTGCTTTAAACCTTATTTTTTTTAAGTTAAAAATATATAAATTAAGAAAATTTTTATTCATTTTTTTTAAATAAATATTGGTTTTAGGTTAGAATTAAAAGCCAAAATAAAGTACAAGCTTAATTTATACCAAAATTTTACAAGAAATCTTAAAAAAATAGGTTTATAAATAAAAGTTTAAGCTATACTTTTTTTTTAAAAAACAAAAAATTTGTCATATCTAATTTTTATATTATATTGCAACATATAATAAAAATTATTGTAATATTGAATACTAGTAAAATGAATTAAGATGAACCTTGTACATAACAGATAATAATTTATAGTAAATTTCAAAAACACTTATTATAAAAAATACTGTACATCTATAGAATTTAGCACTATATTTTAATATAAAATAAAGCTTATATAGTATAATAAAATTTTTATATAAAGGTTTAAACTTTTGTTATATTCAAAATTTTGAAGGTTTAAACATTTTTATTTTACTGTAGCATCTACTGTATATTAGTAGTGTATTAGTATCATAAATATATTTTGGTAAACTTGTTAAAAAATAGCAAAGCTTTTTAAATTTATATAAATTAACTATAGTTTTTTCTTAAAATAATTTTAGTACAAAATAATATTACTAATAGTATTTCAAGATAAAATATACTAATTTAAATACAATATTAGATATATAAAACAATTAAATTGTAACAAAATTTTGGTAAAACTATGCAAAAATACTATATAGAAATAAATATATATATATTGTTAGCTATATACAGTATATTATAGTAAATATAAAATTTGAGTAGACAATTTTTTGGTTATATCTAGCATATAGTATAACCGAAAAAAATATTTATATTATTCGCAAAAATAGAAATATTTTAGTTATATAATATATCGTCATCTCTGGATATACCGAACTGCATTTTCAAGATCGGTATAGAGTTAGTTCATCATACAGTATAATTTACTCGCTTTATACCGAACTGCATACTCAGATCGGTATAGTGTAGAGTAAGTTCATTGTACAGTATAATTTAGTCTCTTTTATCGTTATACCGAACTGTTCGGTATATAAAGCTAACCAATAAAAATCTCTCACAAAACCAACTTTATTAAAATGGCATCGGAAAATTTCGGAAATTTACACTAAATTTGTCTCAACCTTGCATTTTCTTTTCGGAATATTAATATTTCGGATGTGGATCTTATTACTTCGTAGACATACATTATATAATAGAGTTCGGATGAGGTATATAAAGATTTACTATATAGTGATAGCCAGCCAGTCTAATTTATTATAAAAAAATCCGTTCTGCTAAATCTGGTTCGTTATTCCCGAATTCGGTATAAGCATATACAGAGTCGATTTGTATTATGAAATGATTATATAAAAAAGAATTACTATATTAAAAAATATATATATACATTTTTACGGAGGCGGTCCTGAATAAAATATGCTTCATACAATACAGATACAATAGGCACGAATTTTTCACAAAATTAGAATAGTTACTATACAGTATAACTGATTTTGGGACAAAATCCCGAAAACCAAATTCTTGAAAAACATAACACTGACTAAATCTACCAGCGTTATAGCCGGTATTATGTTCATTCGGGAAACAGTTTTTCGGGATCTCGGCCCAAATTCGTAAAACGTAAAAATATGAAAAAAAAAAAAGACAATAAGAAAAATAAAACAGATTATACAGTATGAGAAAAGGATTAAAATATTACTAATGATTAACATAAATTTTTTAATAATACAAATGTCAAAAAAAAGCCAAAATAAATTTAGCAAGAGTAATTTAAAATATGACAATAATAAATGAATAGAAAAAAAGAAATAGAAAAAAGGAAATTCTTAGATATTCATGATGTAAACATTTACGACAACAATGTATTAGAATATTTTTAATTGTTTTTTTCGGGAAACATTATTGGAGTTAAAAAGATATACATTAAGAATTCTCGAAGATTAAGGCAAAATTAAAGTCGTAAAAAAAGATTAATGATATACAAATAAAGAAAAGATAAGGACTAAAATAAGAAAAACAGCATGAATCGAAACAAAGAAAGAAAAAAAAACTATTTATAGAAGATTTTCAAACAAAAAAGTACATGTGCATTCATTGATATAGTCTGCAAATGATCAGAAAAAAAATATATCGGCACAGGTTGAATAGTACAAGTTGAATGGCACAGGTTGAATGGCACAAGATGAATGACACAAGATGAATAGTACAGATTGAAGAATGACACAAGTTTGAATGGAACGAGTTTGAATGGAAGAAGTTTGAATGACACACGTTTGAATGAATAACATGAAGATGTTTACCAAACAAAAAGGTAAAAGATCCATTCGTTCAAAAGAAAAACTATGACGTAATTAAATAAGCACCAATTAATTTGTAACTAACACAACATGAAACATCAAGATCGCTGGAACAGATCGCTAGAATCCGAGATTTACAATAAATATGCTAAAATATGTTAGAACATGTTAAAAATACTAAAATATATGTCCAAATATGCTAAAATATTAGTGGTTATCAATAAGATCCTCCAAAACCGAGAAAATGAAACAGTAGACGATCCCTGCATCTCGGAAATGCTTTAGAGTACATCAAAAATGAGAAAATTCTCGTTTCTCATTGCGGGGATTTCCATAAAGAAAATTAGAGAAAAATAGTAATAATAAAAATAAAAAAAAAATTTAAATAAATTAAATAAATAAATGAATAAATAAATAAAAGAAACATATATAAATAAAATGAACGAAGAAAAATCATAAGGAACAAAAAAAAGACCATTTAGAGATGTAAAGAAGGAGTAAACATAAAAGTAAAGAACAAATCAATAACATGACAGAATGACCATTTGTTTTGAAAGATGCATTAAAGAGAACATCAAACCAAGAAAAAGGTTTTAACATTTCATTTTTTAACGGATATTTGTTTGTTTAACTTTACGGCAAGGCGAAATAACCTATCGGACATCTGCATATGTATGAGAATTGACTTTAAAAGTCAAAAGGACAGCACATGGAATACTGAGAACTAAATTAGGAATAGTTAATTAACGATTTCCGGAAAAATAATTGTTTATTTCTTCTTTTGGTTTCACGTAATTTTGAATGCACACGTGTAACTTTATCACTAATCCTTAACTATAAATAAACTTTGTATCAGATAAAAATAAACTCGTTACATCATCAAAGATCTACAAAATCCTACTACGAAATTTATTTTTGTATATTCTTATTAAATATATGTCAAATACATATTACTGTATTAAAAAATATATCAAATTGGATTGATCTTCAAAAAATTAACAAAAATCTTTTTTTTTAAACCGATATACCGCCGATATGTAAAACGACATTCCACTTTACATTACACTATACATAACACATACATTTTACATATGACGAATGTACAACAAATACGATATTCGTTCTTATTAAAGATACGGTAAGATATACAAGATATACAAAAGATATACAAAATCTAAAAAAAATTCCTTTTATGTACATACATACGCACGTACGTATCGATATCAAGTATGTATATCAAATATCAGGTATGTATGAAAGATGAAAAAGTTTTAATTCGTATTTTTAGCAATTCCGAAAAAGTTATGTAATTTTTCAATTTTCAATTTTTTATTAATCATTACAATTTTGTTTTGTAAAAATTCAAGCTCTGCACAAAGTTAAACTACATGTTGTTACATGATAAAAATTGTGTGATATTATGACATAAGTGATATAAATCCTTAACATAATAATGAATAATTGTACCAATCATAATCTATTTTATAAATTTGACTCCGTTTTTATTTCAGAATTATAATGTACAACCCACATGAAAATCATTACATACTGCGGTTAGGAATACAATAAAATAATTAGCTATAAAAAAAATTGAAAAACTTTATATATAAGATCTTGCATTATTATTTATTTTACTAAATTTATTATTGTTATGCTCTTTTAAACCTAAACATCGTGTTTGATAGACGATGGTAATCTTGAAAACATTGACCCTTCAAAAAAGAAAATCATTAAGTGCAACCAACCTTTTAGTTTTTTTTTTTTTTTTTTTTGTTTCGTGTGATTAATGAACCAATTGAGTTGTACAGAACCTACAGAAACTGTATGGATTCCCATATGTTTTGTTACGAAAGTTATCGGTTACTGCAAAATTGCTGCAATATGCATGATTGATAGATATTGGTTCAACATCCGAAATGCGGTATTTTAACTTTGTTTTAGGACTTTTTTCCGGCAATTTTTTAAGTTTTGTAACTGGTAAGTTTTGGGTACATGCGTACATACGTAAGTATGTACGTATGTACGTGCGTTTTGGAAAATTTGTCGATTGTTTCAATCAACCTAAAACATATCAAAGTCAATCAAAAGTCGGCGCTTTTAGCCTTTAAAAAAATAAAAACCGTATTTCTTTTTGTATAAAATTTATAAAGTCGATACAATGTCTATTTCAATGCCCATTTTGTTAAAAGAATCTAGATGCTTATTCTTGATTACATAATTTTATACCTTTTTTTGGGACCTTCAATGGTTTCCCTTTTCCCCAGTTTTATTTATTTGAACGAGAAGAAATTCGTTTGGTTAAACGTTAATCATTCTCACGTGATACACTGCATACATTAAACGTTGTGCTTTGCATCAATACAATGATTTGCTTGTGTTTCTTTGTTACTCAAAACTTACAATAAGTTACAATGATGATGAAACTTTCGGATATAAGAAAAATTACACATAAGAAATTTTTTGTATAAGAATTATTTGTGTAAGAAATGATTTTCTTTCGTATAAGAATTGTTTGTGTAAGAAATGAATTTTCGTATTAGAATTGTTTGTGTAAGAAATGAGTTTTCGTATTAGAATTGTTATGTATTACATTCTTGGCATATACGTACTATATAAAATTATGTACATATAAGAAAAAAAATTATGTATATGAAAATTTTTTACTACTTAACGTTTTAAGCTAACAAAATAATAAACATTAAGTTTCTTTCTCGGTTTATCTCGGTTTTTGCTAAATTTGTAAAATGAATTAAAAAATGAAATAAATAAAGTGATAATGTACTGTAAATATAAAGTAAATATAAAGTAAATATAAAGTAAATATAACGTGATAGAGTAAATAATTTTGATGAAGTAAATATGTATAACGATAAAGTATATACTTTATTATTATATGTTATTCTTTTATGTTATTGTTCTTTATGTTATTATTTTATGTTATTATATGTCAGATGTATATAATAAAAAAATAAATGAATTGTATATATCAAAATATATAACAGTATAACCTATCATACTAAAGTCTATAATTTTAACCTGTTTATGTTTACATGCGTGTGCCTGTGATCAATCAGTGTAAACGTTACAATTAAAATTACACACTATTACACTATTAAAACATGATAACATAATAAATGCTAGAAATAGTTTTTCTTGAGTTCTATTTTCGACTTTCATTATCCACGAGCTTTTTAATGTCTTTTAATGTCTTTTAATGCCTTTTAATGCCTTTTAATGCCTTTTAATGCTTTTTAATGCTTTTTAAATGTTTGTTAATACGCCAAATTATGAAACATTTAAACGCGTCACTTACTAACCTCTTATGTTATTCAAAGCAATTACTTTTATATCATTTATGTTAATTTTATACTGTTTTTTTATACTGTTTTTTTTTATTACTGTTTTATGCTGTTTATGCTGTTTATTGTGTTTGTATATTCTAATATCGTTACGAATATATTACGAATATATTACGAATTTGAATACAAAATGTACGAATATTGTAAATATTGGATACTCAACGCTCAGCAGCTAATGCAAAACAAAAATTACGAATACAGAAATATCATACCATACACAAATTTCGATAATGTACTTCACCTGTAATATTCGGCCGATGAAATTTTCTGTAAATCACGTGGATTTACTATGAAAATTTTTTGTACATAAAAAATATATCAAATTAATAATAATTATATATGTCCGATTTTAATTTACGAAATTTTAGATTAATTTACGATTTTTTTATTTTTTACTGTATACTGTTGTAAAAAAGTACTAAAAGTACGTATGTAAAAAAATTTCAATTATTCTAATTTTATTAATTATATGTTGCAATAACCTATATCGATATGTTTGGTGTTGATATTTTTTTTATGGCTCTGGTCCAAACTTTTACTATCATTAAAGATACACAACATATAACAAAATATAGTCGTTCTCCATAAAAAATCCATAGTATTCCTAATTTAGAAGGTTAACGTGAACCCCTCGTGAAACTTTCCTTGATTGTACTCAAGTCAATACTTTTTACTTATTAACTTGAACTTACGAAAATCTTTGTACTGTATTTACGAGAAACAATTGTCTTGTGTAAAATAATAATTAGTCTTCTTTGTAGTACAATAGTTACAATAGCCTTTTATTATTTACTTTGTTTTCCGATCATGGTTTTTAGGCGCTTTTTTTTAAAAAATATTTTATTTCGGTTTTTATGCTTCCCTATCGTTTCGGGTCGAATTCTATGTTGGGTAAATTGGGTAAACTAAATTTTTTGATCTGCATATTTTGGTTAGGATTGGTTAATCATCTTACTCAAGCGTGCCATCATATCTGTGTAGCTTGTGTTCCCTCACCCTGAGCCTTGTGTTCCAGCAAACAAATCTTTTGGGTTTTTAATCGCACCTCTTTCCAGCTTTCTCCAGTTTCCTTTGGTTGACGTCTAAGTAAGAAATTTTCTTGCTGAGTCTCATATTTTGCCCTTAGCTGGCCCTTCTACCTTCTTTTATCCCCGTTTGCCTCTCTTTTAAAAAGCCTTTCTTATTAGACTACATTTTTAAAAAAAAACCTTTAGCTTTTTTTTAAACTAGCCCGACTTTTTTTTTTATAGAAAAAAAAAAAAAAAGACTTTGGAAGTCTATTTCTAATTCTCTTTGCCTTTTTTTTTTCTTCTTTATATTTCAAGACGGTTTAAAAATTTCACCATCTCTTTCGAATCCTATTCTACTTCACTTACTTCCTTTTAAAAACTCTATTTTTTCTTTTTTTTCTACCGTCTATATAATTTTCTTTTGTTCTTTACAAAAACTCGCTCTGAAAAAAAATAAAACTATCATTATAGGTAGCCTTTTGCTTGCAAAGGTAAGTTAAAAAGTAAATTTTATTAATTTTTTAGATTAGCATAAAATTCTATTAGAAAACTTTATTAGAACTGTATTAGAGGTTTAAAGATCTATAGCATATATTCGTTAAAAATTATTCTGAGTGGTTATTTAAACTTTACAAAAAATATAACTTTCGGCATTTCCCGATCCCTATATTTTAATTTGTTCTTTTATTTCATCATAGACTTATCATAAAACTTTAAAAACTTCTTACTAGTTTAAAATTGTCAAAAAAAAAAAAATTTTTTTTTTTATTGATTGCCAAAGTTGTCAAAAAAAATTGACAAATTTATCAAGCAAAAAAAAAAAAATAATAATAATAATTTTATTACTTTCTATATCAACTTTTTATATTAGCTTTTTTATAATAACTTTTTATAATAACTTTTTTATAATAACTTTTTATAATAACTTTTTATATTAACCTAATTTTTTTTCCTACCTTATTCTATTCTATTCTATCAATCTACCTACCCTATTCTCTTCCATCTATCGTTTTTTTTTATAGGATACCTCCATCTTGTCGGTCTTGTTTTAATCCTAGACCCATAAGATAATAGAGAAAAAAAAAAAAGTCGAGCCTGCTTGCAATTGGGTCTCATAAAAGAAAGCATTACTATCATCAATCTTTTTATAGTTGTATTATTTTAACCATCATTCGATAAAAGATAAAATGGCTGACTATTTATTAGCCGAACGTCCAAATAAACGTGCTTATTTTGGTTCCACATCTACCAATATGTTTGACGCTGACGATGATGATGAACAGTACTTCGCTTTCACTAAAGCTGCTGCCGACTCGGGCTTTCCTATCGCTGGCGTGAATGACGCCTCTACTTCTTCAATTTTGCCCAATAAAGATGTCGAGTCCTCTAGTTCCGTGAACTCCATCGATATCACGTCCAATTCTACCGATCGTTCGACATTAATCGATGATGCTAAAATAAATACTACTATTAATAAGGGCACTGGTGCAAATATAGACGTCCCCAACGTAGGCTGTAAGGCTGAGCCAAGCAGCAAGGAGACTGCTGAGAGCGGTAGCAAAATTGGCAAGTCCAACTCTTCCAAATCTCCATCAGCTACGTCATCATCCTCCCAATCTACTACTACTACCGCAAACAATGCTACTACTACCTCATCTACCACCTCCTCAACTACTACAACTAATAATTCCCAAACACCACCACCAACAAATAACAAAAAGCGAACTCGTGCTACCCCTGAACAACTCGCTATTTTGGAAGATACTTTTAAAACAAATACCTCTCCAAACAGTAAAGTTCGTGAAGCTTTAGCTGAAAAAGTTAATATGTCTGAACGTTCTATTCAAATTTGGTTCCAAAATCGTCGTGCTAAAATGAAAGCTATGCAAAAACGTGCTCATTTAATGATTAATCAAGATTCTCTTGGTCATCACTTCATGCCTTGCATACCCGGTTATGGTCATGGTTTATACCCTTTCCGTATGCCAATTCATCATGCTCAACGTATTGCTCTTCCTCGTTCTTATAGTACAAGTGATCTTACCCCAACTATTAATAATCTTGCTTTGGCTGGAATGAGACCTCAACCAAATTCCGGTCTTGGTATCACTGTTCCGCAAGTTGCTCAAGGTTTTTGGCAGTCTGGTCCTTTAACTGCTCCAATAACCTCTTTGGGTGCTGGTGATCCAAATCATTTGATATCTGGATTCCCTTTTCAGACTAATACTCTTGTTGCTCAACAACAACAACAACAACAACAACAACAGCAACAACAACAACAACAACAAGCTCAAAGATTTCCTACTCCTAATGCTAGTCCTAATTCTAATGTTATGAATGCTGCTCAAGCATTACATCTTGTTGTTAATCCTGCAAATGGAATGCCTGTTAAAATTAATGGTACTTTATCATATTTAAAATAAATATAATAAATATATATAAATATATATAAATATAAATATATTTATATATATTTTTTTTTTTAAAAAAAAAAATAATAATAATTTTTTTTTGACTATTTTCATTTATATTCATTTTTATATTCATTTTTATATTATTTTTTTTCATTTGAAATTATTTTTAGATCCAACGTCCATATCGTCGACCCCTCAACAACCTCAACAGTTCACACCTCCTCAAGAATATGTTTCTCCGGCTAATACTGTTTCTGTTATCTCATGTGAAACTCTAACCATTGGTACTTGGCGTCGTATCTTAACTATGCAAGCTCCTACTGATCTTTTATGTTATTATGCGATCCCACAAAATACCTTTACTTATCATATTACAAATGATAATACTCAATTTAAAATGGAATTTCCATTAACCGATATTACTTCAATTGAATATCGACCTATTGATGATATTTATGCTCAAATTGCTGTTGAAGTAAAAGATCCTCCTCATTTCTATATGGAAGCTTCTCATGGTGGTTGGAATATGTGTAAAGATTTCACCGAGGATAGACAAGCCACTCGTCACATGAGGCATGTGATGAAAGGTCGTGCTATTATTATGAAACCTCAACTTATGAAGCTCATGCAAGATGATCCTCTTTTGGCGAAAGTTGTAAATTTTGTTGATGATTCTGATTCTTTTATTAAAGATGATGATCAACAAAATCCTCCTCGTCGCTCTTCTTATCCAAGTGGTTCTATTGCTGATAATGTTCGGTTTGGAAGTGAAAATTCTTCCCTTTCAGATAAAGAAGATTATAAATCTAGTGCAAATAATTTACGTAAACAGTTGGTTCTTAATCGTCGTTCTGTTTCTCTTCCTTTATCTCCCTCGGATGATCATAAGACCTCTTTTCTAACCGCCAATGCTACTACAATGGTTCAAAATCCTTTACATGTTAATACTGCTCTTATGGATTTATATAAAGCCGAAGTAACCAATAGTTCTCCTGAATTCTGTTCTTCACCTATGGAGCTTAATTCTTCTCCAACAACTCCTCTCGATGTGTTCGATAATTCTCCAACTTTAATGGATTCTTCTCCCCTGTTGAATCAAGATCCTTTTGTATCATTACCTTCTCATAATCATAGCAGTCTATCAATGGACACTTCTATGAATTCTAATGAAATAGCTGCTATGGTCAGTTTCGCTCCTACTATGTCTGGTCATGGTTTACCTGCTATGTCCAACGATGAATTCGCTAATATGTTTAACATGAGCAGTGGTTCAGATACTGCTTCTGATGTTAGTGAATTTTTGACCTTTAATGATTATGCTAATGATACTATGGATGGTACTGATGGCTTTGCCTCTTCAAATGGATTAATAAATATTGATACCTCTTCTTGGGTTGGAGATGTTGCTTATTGTTAATTATTTTCATTTATTTAAAAATAATAACAATAATCATTAATTATTAATAATACCTTTATATTATTAATTTTTATTAATTTTTTACACCGAACATTTTTTTTTTTCACAAACAATTTACGTAATACGTTGAACACAAGCTTCTATAGATTTTTTAAAACATGTGAACTGCTATGGATTTTTTTTTTTTTTTTTTTCTTATGAGGTTGACACACACACACACACACACAATAAAGTTTTTTTTTTTAAGAAACTTAAGCGATATGGTGCGATATGGACTTAATTTAAACCTAATTATTCGATCTTGGGGGATTATTTAATCTTTAATTATTTAATCAAATTTTTTCTGGGGGTCGAGGTATTTTTATTTGAACATTGTACATTTTTATGATTCATTTTTTACTACTACATTTAATTTCACTTTACATTGGGATGCACTTTACATTTAGTTTGTTTTTTGTGTTCTATTGGTGGTGGAGTTGGCCCGCCGGTAGGCGCCATTATAAATAGTTTTTTATTTAGAGTTTTCAATTTGATAGATTTTATAGTCAAAATTTGTCATTTCCTCTTCCCCTTTAGTTCCCCCATCCTCTCCCTCCCTTCACATATGTATATTATGATTCACTTACGTTTTATTCAACTTTTTACATTCCTTCACAAGAATTTCGAACAATTGAGTTTGTTCGATTAATAATTTTTCAACTAGCTTGAAAGAAAGAAAAAAAAAAAAACAAATTTTTTTATACACTTTGTAATAGCACACTTTAAAAAGAAAAAAAAAAAAGAAAAAAAAATACAACTGAATTCTTGTTCTCCTAAACAGAATGGACGACTTTAATTTCACTAAATAATCACACAATATTCCTCTTTATTTTTTTTAAATTATTTTTTCTTGCAATATTATTTTTTTTTTTGTTGAAAAAGTTAATACCGAAATCTTTAATTTTTTTTAAACATATTGATTGTATTCTGTAATAAAATTAATGAATAAAAAAATAAAAAAAAAAATATATACAACTTGTCAGTTAGAAGTAAAATTAGTAGTTATTACTGTATTATTTGACGTTGATATATCATTGCTGATATGATATCATTATTGATACAATGAGATTTTGTATTAACGTATCGGTATTGACTAGCATACATTTAAATGCATTTAATATAAATATTATCTCTTATAAAGATTTTACAAATATTTATTTATCTATCATAACGTATCTGTCATAACGTTATCTGTCATAACGTTATCTATCATAACGTTATACGTAGAGGTAGTTATTAAATTGATTACTAACAAATTTGTAAATTAAAAATCACATGATGCATATAAATTACTGCTTATGATATATCAAGTAAGAATATTTTTATCTCGTTTAGAATAATTTCATTATTATTTAGACTTTTGAATAAAATAATATACTATACAATAATAATATTAAATATCTATATCACTATATCACTAAACTATATTAATATCAACATTTTTTT